CTATTGAATTCAACCATAAATTGAGTAGTGTTCCAGAAGATGCGGTGGTTGACAAAGACAATTATCAGAGGCTTGTTGGGAGATTAATCTACTTGTCACACACAAGACCAGACAGAGCATATGTTGTTAGTGTAGTGAGCCAATTTATGCATAATCCTGAGGAGACTCACCTAAAGGGCGTCTATAGAATTCTACAGTACTTGAAGGGTTCACCTGGTAAGCCAATCTTGTTTAAACGAGGAGAAATGCTAAGCCTTGAAGCCTATACTGATGTCGATTATGCTGGATCAGTTGATGATAGAAGATCAACTTCGGGGTACTGTAAATTCTTGGGTGGAAATCTTTTTACATGGAGGAGTAAGAAACAAAATGTGGTTGCGAGATCAAGTGCAGAAGCAGAATTTAGGTCCATGGCGCTCGGGATTTGTGAACTTCTACGGTTAAAGATAATTTTGGAAGATCTAAAGGTCAAGGTTGAAAGTCCGATGAGATTATTTTGCGATAATAAGTCGACTATCGATATTGCTCACAATCCAGTGCAACATGATCACACGAAGCATATAGAAGTGGATAGACACTTTATAAAGGAAAAGCTTGATAGTGGCTTAATTTGTACTCCATTCGTCTCCACAGAGAATCAAGTTGCAGATATTCTTACAAAGGGGCTTTCTAGTACAGTTTTTCAGAGACTAGTGGACAAGCTTGGAATAGATAACATCCATTCATAAGCTTGAGGGGGAGTGATGGAAAGAACACGTTTTTCCTATTTTAGGAAATTGTGTAATTGATTGATTGTGTTTTTGGTTTTATTGTTTCCGGATTCTAGAAGAGTTGACTTCTCTAATTTGTAAATTAGGAGATTCTTGTTTATTCTTTCCTTAATTAGTCTCTATGGTGTAATTATACATACATGTAAACAGCCCTCGTAAAAAAGACACTTTTGATCGATTTTCATCATCTTGTTTACTCTAAATTCTGAGAGAAATCAAAATAATTTCGCTCAAAGAATGAGAGAGATTCGAACATCAATTTACCTAAAAATCAATTTAGAGATTCGAAAATGGGATCACCATCATTGTAATCATCCACGGCTGTTGGCTCCACATCATCAATTACGATTTTTGGATCTACCTGTATTTCAAATCCCTAACAATCCAGATACTATTTTAAATACTTAATCCGAATTTCTACATAACCAATGGCAAGAGAAGGAAAATATAGAGACAAATATTAGAAACAAAATTTAGACTTTTCACACATGCTAGGAAACACCAAAAAGAGAACAGAGAATGAAAATCAGTTTGATACATTTAATCTCTTTCTATTAAGCATTTTATAACTACAATAGAGAAGTCAATATTTTTGTATGCGTAAAGCTAATAGTACAGAGGACTTACATTGTACGTGTTTTCTCGAGATTTGTTTGGCTATGCAGTTTGCAATCTATCAATTCAATGACAAGAAGAGAAAAACTAAGTTCAAAGTTAACCTTATATACACTGAATATTGCAAATGAAAATAAAAAAGATGACAAACACATACCAAATCACTTGGAAAAGGACTAGTTGTAGCTTCCTTATCATGAAATGGAGGCCAATCCTCTGTCTGTGATCTCTTTTAATGGCTTGTAACTTGTCCAGCCTCTCTGTTTAAGATAGCCAAGGAAATTGTTTCTAAGGGAGATTGATTCCTTTAAAGTCCTTGCAGGGCTCTACAAGCAACCATGCAATATGGTCTTGTATAACATTTAAAAAAAAAAAAATTATTGTAAGATCTTCCAGAGAAAAGGGGCAAAAAATAGAAGAGGAAGAAGATCAACTATATATCTAACGAGAGAAAGGAGAGAATAAACCAAATGTTGATAGCAACAACTCAGGGGAATCAAGATGCAAAAACAGCGGTCAATCTTTTGTGGTCCAGATCTCAACCTAGGTCAGTGACGATGAAAGAAATTGGTCCCCTCTACAATCAAATCTACCCACTAAATAATGCACTTATGTTATCCTGGAGAAAACAATTAACTTTTTCCTCTCCTTAGTAATCCAAAAAAGGAAAACTACCAAAAAGAGGCGAACACTTGAGATGGAAATTGGAAAGAAATTAGCAGAGACCACACAGCAAGCCACAATGTTTCAGACCACTATCCATTGTAGTACACACACACATGCACAAAAGTGTTTTATAACATTGCTCTATGCAAAACACAAATAACAGAACAACAACCATTAGCACCCAAGTTTATCTCTGTATCTCTAAAATTACCTGAGAGCTAATATAAAGGTTTCATCAAGCTTTTGGCAATGAGAGCCTCCACTTATTCATCACTTGTGCCATGTGCCATCTTCTCTGAAGATGAGAAAAAAAAATGGAAAAATGAGTAGTTAGCACTAAAAAAGTCAATAAGTCCCAACACAAAAAGCTAAAAGTCATTCATCAGGTACCAACAATTGATTCATAGAAAGGAAGCCCAAACAACCTAGGGAAAAAACCAATTCACAATTGAAAGAAGCCACAAAAACTAAGAAACCAAAAGAAGAATTCGACCAGCACCCTGATTTCTGCATTTACCTATAAAAGGCACTTAAGAGTAGTATAGAAACTTACCTTTGTTACAGATACTTATACAACAATTAAAAAAATGAAACGTTGGTTTTTAGATTAGAAGCAGGCGACCATCAGTGGATAGGAGGAAGAAGGAACGACCTGTTGGGGAGGTTGACAAGCAAGCAGAGTCCATTGACGCGTCCACCCGTAACTTATCAAATTATAGTTTTGTAAGTTTGAAGAAGACAGATCAAATATCAGAAGAGTTTAAAAGTGTAAATTAAACGTTATGTTTTTAAATGTGAAGAGGTAAAAAGATTACGAAAAATAAAGAACAAATAAAATGGCTGAAGATTAAATTGGACATTACAAATAAGAAAAGAAAAATTACGACTAAAACAATAAGTGTTTAACTTCGACAAGAGAAGACTCTTACATTAAAAGACTATGATAATGGTAGCACAAATGAAATTTAATAAAAAATAAAAATAAATATGATGATATAAGAATTTTCACAATGACAGAACATTGAGAATGAAATTAAAAAGAAACAGACATCCTGAAATCTAGATATTGTTTAAAGAACAAAGGGTACTATAAGGAAAAGTTATTAGAGATGAAAATTAACGCAAAGAAAGTTAAGACTTTAAAATTAATTACTATCAAATTTAAAATCTGTATTCATTAAGGGTTAATGAAATACACTAAAGAAATCAAGCAATGAATAATTAAATTGAAGGAACCAAGGAAGAGAATAGAGTAAGTTTAGACAAAGCCTAGAACCGAGAAAAAAGTCTGATATTAATTAATGGGCCCCAACATTACTATGAGAAGAATCAATTATAATATATCGATAATCTGATAAACATTACTGAATAAACAACAATAATCTAATATATATATATATATATATAGCAGCAGAAAAGTCCAACAGAGGATGGCTGGCTGCACCTTGCACGATTCCAGAACATAAGTGAAACCAGTGTTCGAGCCGGAACTCTCAGCATTGATGCTAGTTGCACCTGTCCTCCAATTTGACAGTCCCGACAAAGTGTAATTTGTAGATGTACTTAGATGGACGTAAACAAGTTAATTAATTATGAAATATGGTTGGTCACCCATTCTCTCATTTGGTGTAGAAAGAAATTTCAATTAAAAAAAACTGACAATAGATATTTCGAATAAAATTTGAAGAACGAGAGAAATTTGAGAGCATAACATGCTAATTAGTACACCCAATAAATAAGGAATAACTCCATCAGTGAGATATATTGCAAGCTAGATGGACAGTATACCATTTCCTCTTCATATCTTTTAGTTTAACATAATCTTCGTGTTTTCTTTAATGTGTTAGTCTTTTGATGGTTTCTTTAATATGTTACATAAACAGGACTCAAACTGACTTATTTTCTTTTTTGGATGAGCTAATATAGTCATCATGTTGCTAATCCACTTTTGAGTAATTTTATTTCCATCTTTTTTTCAAATTTTACGTACTTATAGATGGAAATTGAAGACATATATTTATAGCATGAACAACTTACGTTCTCTTTTGTTATTGTTATTATAACCAAAGAACAAGAACAAGAAAAAAAAAAGCAAGAAAAAAAAACAAAAGCAACTATTTGTTGTTATAAAATGCACACATATATTACCTTAACTAAATATAATTAGCCCAAATAGATATCCTCAATGTAACAGAAGAAACATAGATCGCAACTAATTGAATGTAAAGTTTTATTTTAGCTGCTGCTGAATGCAAAGATTCTAATCATCAATAACCAAATATATATCAATGAAATCAGAAATAGGGGGAAGCAATTATCAACTAAGTGGATGCTTGAGAGAGCCAACCAAGTTGTTCGAAAAAGGTTGAGTGCAAACTTCTAGAGGTAACGCAAGACATACTTTCTCTAAGGGTTCTTACCGTCAAAAGTTTCAAAGCTTAATTTAAACAATGAATTTTAACTAGGTGGCATTATAGAGCAAACTTTCATTAAAGGCTGCTTTACCTCTGACATTGTACATAAAGACTCCTCCGTGAGATTTTCAACATAGATCCCGGATTTGGCATCTTCTCTTATCTAGAGAAAAAAGTTGATAAAAGCCCTAGTGAGTAGTACTATAAGAAGAACTTCTAAAAAGGGAAAGCAAAACAATCCTCCTCACCTGAATATTTTTTTGATTAGGATCCAATAAATCTGTAATCTGTTCATTGGAAATCTGTAAAAATTAATTAATGAGTTAATGGAAGAAATTATAAAGTTAAAATAGGCCAATTACACCAAAAATCTACCTCAAAAAAAGGAATAGTGAGACATTTACTGATACTTGAGTTGTCCATCAGCATTCTTGTTTTGCTTCCGTAGAAAGAAGTTCCACAAACAGCTTCCAACAGATATATGATATAAAATTAGATTAGAACAAAACAAAAGACCAAATAAATTTACCTCGTTTATACGAACAAAGAGACGCTCAAAAACTTGAGGAGTTAAACCTTGTTGATTGATAGAAATGCTTTCAAACCAACAATGCTTTGGCCGGGCATACAAGTATTTCCCAAATCCCGTCTTAACAACAATCACTTTTCATATATGTTACGCATATTCTATATCACAACACATAACAAAACAAAGGCAAACTCAACATACCTGTCCATATGCAAAAATGGAAATGTTGAACACTGTCATACAATTTTCAACAAGTGGTGCTCCCATAAGCTGGAACATATCTAGTGGCAACCAAAAGTTGTGATGAAACTCAATCATTTAAAGCAAACTATTCATTTAAGTATACGGAGAAAGTCACATCTCCGTGAAGGCCTTACGTGCGTTGCCTCAATCTGCAACCGAGTCGAATGTAAAATTTTTCTCGTTGATTGTCAAAGAATCATTAGAAATTTTCAGAACTATCATTTCTTCTTCATCCTTGTCTTTGCGTGGTCGCCTCATTCGCACTAATACCTAGAAATCAACAGTAGGAATAATAATAACAAAAATCCTGAGACTGAACACGCAAGGAAAAGAAAAGCCACAAATTTTAGAATGTGAGGCATCATATCAGTTTACAATTTGGAAAATAAATAAAGCAGCTGACCAAACAGGTATTTATTTGAAAATATGAGAACTCTCCATAATATACTCAATTTCCTTATAATTAAGAAATTTAACTCATTTTTCAAAGTAGAACCTAAAATCCTCTTTGGATTCTAAAGAATTTATATAGAAAGAAATGTCAAATGGGGTAAATCATAACTACAAACTTTTGAGTTCAAAAGGAAAACTTATCTTCATCAGCTATAAACAATTTGAAACCTCAAATTTTACAAACAATTTGATTCTTTTTTTTTTAGTAGAGAGAAATCTGAACAAATAATGTCGTATTCTATCTAAAGAGCAAGTAAAAATAAATCACGTGATATAAAAAACAACACATAAGATTTATTTAACTGCCCGGAAGAAGAAAAGGACATAAAGATCCTGAGATCATGAAGTTGATGGAGACATCATTTTGGACCTACAAAATATAAAAATATAAGCAATTTGAAACCTCAAATTTTACAAACAATTTGATTCTTTTTTTTTTAGTAGAGAGAAATCTGAACAAATAATGTCGTATTCTATCTAAAGAGCAAGTAAAAATAAATCACGTGATATAAAAAACAACACATAAGATTTATTTAACTGCCCGGAAGAAGAAAAGGACATAAAGATCCTGAGATCATGAAGTTGATGGAGACATCATTTTGGACCTACAAAATATAAAAATATAAGTGATGATATAAAAGAACTAAATTAATCAAATGAAAAAAAAAAAAAAGAAGAATGAACTTATCTTTTTCTTTTTTAAGATAGGTAGAAGTATCTGTAAATACAGATACAATCCGTGACAGACAAAAATCCAACCATTAATGACCTTTTCTTATCCAAGAATCATGAAAGGTACACCACGATTAGCCTTTAACAAAGAGCAAAATCATAATTAACCAAACCTTCCGGAACAAGAAAAGGACAAGATTGCAGCAACCGTAGAGAAAAGTTAATACCTGGGAGCACCAATAGCATAATTAGTATAGAAAACAAGATATAAAATAAATAATAATACAAACAAAAAAATATAAAAATATAGAGAAAATAAAATGGGCTTATCTTAAAAGAAGGATAACATGGTTGAGAAGATCGTGTAAAGTGGCGAATTTCAACTCGGAAAAGACGAACATGTAAATAGAAGAGTAAACACCCTTCCATTCTTTTTTTGTCCGTACTTAGTGCAGGTGGCTGAAATAAAGAAAACAAAGGGGAACGAATAACAAGAGATGTAATTTACCAAGAAACATATGTATAGCAAAATAATAACAAAATTCATCTTTAATTATGAAACTCTCATAAAGAGAGACATAATAATAGATTACTTTTAAACTCTCATAAAGAGAGACTAAAAAAATGAAAAACTTAATAAAATAACTTCTGAAACATAGATTACTTTGAGCAATCGGAAAGCATCTAAAATAGATAGAATCCATGGTGGATAGAGATCCAACCATTAATGCCTTTTTCTATCCATGGAACAAGCAAGAATAAATCATGTGATATTAAAAAACAACACATAGATTTATCAAATTGCCTAAAAGAAGAAATAAGGCATGATGAAGACTTCAAATTGGACCTGGAAAAAATTATAAATTATAAATAAGGGAATTGAAGCAAAAATCAGAAGTCAATATTAAGTAACAATAAAGTAAAAAATTCTACACAATTGTATGAAAAGATTGCTGCATAATAGAGATGTTTGAAATGTATAATCCAATAAGGTGAATGCGGCTTGTCTGAGGGAGGGTGTTTAGGCCTTCCCTACAAACCTCCATAACTCCTTTGAAATACATAGAAAATGAAAAACTTGAAAGGAAATATTAACCAAGATAAATTCTTCGTACACCTATATTTGAATAATAGTTCAATTTAAGTAATAAAATCTGATATATAGTACATAATTATATCTTAAGAAGCCGCTTTTCTTAGGAGATCATACTTCCAAGGCATTCGCCAGACCCAACTGCAAAAAAGTACTATTAGAGTCTATACGTCTATATACGTCAATATGGGAGTTTTCACATATAAAAATGAAAAAAAAAAATAAAGTTAATAAGGATTGTTCCCTTGTGTTTAGTGAAAAAAGTACACCCTCAAAACCCCGCTTGTTCCTTTCCTTTACTCACTCAAATGTCATGATTGCTATAGGAAGCAAAAACTCTAGATTCCTGGTTGTTTTGTCACCATTAGTGATAAGAAAAGTGAAGTTGATAGGAAAAAGAAAATTCTTATTAAACTATCATGAAATCAAACAATTTCGCTCAGAGACGGAGAGATTCGAACATCAATTTACTTAAAAATCAATTTCAATATTCGAACATGGGATCACCATCGTTGTAATCATCCGTGGCTGTTGGCTCCACATCATCAATTCTAATTTTTCGATCTACATGTATTTCAAATCCCTAACAATCCAGATACTATTTTAAATACTTAATCCGAATTTCTACAAAATCCATGGCAAGAGAAGTCAGGAAAATATAGAGAAACAAAGATTAGAAACAGATTTTCCACACATGCTAGGAAACACCAAAAAGAGAACAGAGAAAGAAAATTAGTTTGATACATTTAATCTCTTTCTATCAAGCATGTTATAACTACAATAGAGAAGTCAATATTTTTGTATGCGTAAATCTAATAGTACAAAGGACTTACATTGTACGTGTTTCCTTGAGATTTTCTTTGGCTATTCATTTTGGAATCTATCAATTCAATGACAAGAAGAGAAAAACTAAGTTCAAAGTTCAATGACAAGAAGAGAAAAACTAAGTTCAAAGTTAACGTTATACACTGAATATTGCAAATGAAAATAAACAAGATGACAAACACATACCAAATCACCTGGAAAAGGACTACTTGTAGCTTCCATATCATGAAATGGAGGCCAATCCCCTGTCTGTGGTCTCTTTTATTGGCTGGTAACTTGTCCCGCCTCCCTGTTTAGGATAGCCGAGGAAACTGTTTCTACGGGAGATTGATTCCTTTAAAGTCCTTGCAGGGCTCTATAAGCAACCGTGCAGTATAGTCTTGTTTAACATTAAAAACAATATATATTTTAAGATCTTCCAGAGAAATGGGGCAAAATAGAAGAAGAAGATCAACTATATATCTAACGAGAGAAAGGAGAGAATAAACCAGATATTGAAAGTGACAACTCAGGGGAATCAAGATGCAAAAACAGTGGTCAATCTTATGTGGTCCTGATCTCAACCTAAGTCAGTGACGATGAAAGAAATTGGTCCCCTCTACCCTCTACAATAAAACCTACCCACTAAATAGCAAGGAATTAGCGGAGACCACGCAGCAAGTTACACTGTTTCAGACCACTATCCATTGTAGTAGACACATTAGCATCCAAGTTTATCTCTGTATCTGTAATATTGCTCTATGCAAAACACAAATAACAGAACAACAACCATTAGCATCCAAGTTTATCTCTGTATCTGTAAAATTACCTGAGAGCTAAAATAAAGCTTTCATCAAGCTTTTGGCAATGAGAGCCTCCACTTATTCATCACTTGTGCCATGTGCCATCTTCTCTGAAGATGAGAAAAAAAAATGGAAAAATGAGTAGTTAGCACTAAAAAAGTCAATAAGTCCCAACACAAAAAGCTAAAAGTCATTCATCCGGTACCAACAATTGTTTCTATTTGATTCATAGAAAGGAAGCCCAAACAACCTAGGAAAAAAACCAATTCACAATTGAAAGAAGCCACAAAAACTAAGAAACCAAAAGAAGAATTCGACCAGCACCCTTGATTTCTGCATTTACCTATAAAAGGCACTTAAGAGTAGTATAGAAACTTACCTTTGTTACAGATACTTATACAACAATTAACAAACTGAAACGTTGGTTTTTAGATTAGGAGCAGTGACATAACTAGTTTGAATGAGGAATCTAAAGTAATTCTCCTTCGGTTTTGAACAGAAAAGAGATTTAAATATAGTCACTTCTACTTTATTCCTTCCAATAGTCTCAATCATATCTCTAAACTTTGTTGGCAATGAAAAGTTTCTATATGCCTAAATCTAATTGTTCAACACTAAAAGTCACTACTGATTTTTAAACATCTGCCACAAGCATAAAAAGAAAACAGCAAAATTAGTATCGATAACCGATTAATAAGAGAACTTAAGAGAAACTGAATCAAGTGTTTATAGTTTATATCAAGATTTACCAAATATACTTTATAATTTGAAATGAAGCCTCATATTTATGAACCCTAAAAGTTCGAATCATAATTCTAAAGAGCAATAACCAATCAATGATTAGCACCACCGTTAACCTTCATGTCTCTCAGAATACAGAAAATAACCAAAAGAAAACGATAACTGAGTAAAAATCCACAACACAGAGAGGGAAAAATTACCAAAAATCCAGAAGTTGCAACTCTCTAGTCAGATGAGGAAGAGAGAATTTAGCAGCGATTTCTTTAGAAATCCACAACACAGAGAGGGAAAAATTACCAAAAATCCAGAAGTTGCAACTCTCTAGTCAGATGAGGAAGAGAGAGAATTTAGCAGCGATTTCTTTGGAAAAACCCTAGCAAACCTTCAATGGTGGATCTGGTCTAATGAGGAAGAAAGAGAGAAATGTCGGCCATTCCTTCAACAATGACTCAATCTGGTCCGACGAGAACGTGAGAGAGCAGAACCCGACGATTGCTGGTGAAAACTCTGGTCATTATCCAGCGATACTAATGTCCGACAAGAGATTGGGAGAAAGTAGAGGTCAAAAGGGTGGAAATCGCCGGCGAGTGCTCCGGAATCGGGGGCAACGAGTTCGGATCAGACGGCAGAGCGTTCTGCTTGGAGCCCTTGTGCTTCCGTCGACGGCCGGGGCTTGGCGCGTTCTCCTTGGAGCCGCTCTGCTTCCGCGACGGCTGGGGCTTGACTGCGCTAGGGTTGGGCGAGGCCGGAGACTCTATCGTCGTCTCCTCAAGATTGCGTTTCTTGGCTGCGTGAAGTGCTTCATGGCTGTGAAATCTAGAGAGAGAAAGAGAGAAGAAATGGAGGAGAGAGAGAGGAGGAGGAGGAGAGAGAGATTGAAAAGACGAAGGGAGCGACAAGAGAAGGGAAAATGTAACCGTTGGAGAAGGGAGACTCTTTTCACTTAACAGCACCACCTCTTATCATTGTTGTTTGTTTGTTAGTATTATTACTCGTACGCTAAAATACCTATCAAGTTTTTCCCCAAAAAATAAAATAATATATATTTATCAACGAGGGTTTTTTTTTTTAATTTTTAAATTGAGACTCTTCTTATAATTGAAATGCTAAAATACCTATCAACGAGGTTTTTTTTTTAATTTTTAAATTAAAAAAATTGGGACGTTATAGCTACTGCTGCTGTATATATTATTTGCTAGTCAAGAGAAATATATTAAAGGAAATATAGATTAATAATATTATGATTTAATAATTTATTTTTTTATTAAGGTAACTAACACATTCTTTTTATTACTTTTGTTCCACTTCTTTTTTTAATATGTTCCTTATTAATGATGCTACATTTTATATAAATATTTCTAGCATTTATTTATGAACAATCTTCAAAACACTAATTGATCTATTACACTTGTTGATTTATTTTTCAAAACACTAGTAAAGAGATGCACGTGCTTTTTTTGTGTTCAAATAGAACTGTAAGTTTGGGCCGAACTAAACAAGTTAGCTTAAGGCCTGCCACTGTTAGCCCAACTCAGTCCTAAATTTTTAGGTTTAGGGCTAGGTTGGGTCACTCTTCTCTCCTATACATTAGTTTTTTTATAGATTTTTTTGAAAATACCTTATAAAATTCTGGACCGAACTACGCGAGCCCTAAATTTTTTGAGCTTAGGGCTGGGCTGGACTGACCCTCTCTTTTTTAGCGCTGGGCTAGATAGGCTCAAAATTTCTGTTCAGGCAACTCGGTCGGGCCGGGTAGTCCAAACTTACACCTCTATTTTCAAATGATAGTGGTGTGTATTTTTTTTTTTTTTTTTGAAATGTAGTGGTATGTATGTTGCATTATATATGTTGTTCAATTATCTGATTTTTAATCAAAATTGCTTTAATCGGGAAAAAATAGCTCCGGATAGCTCCACACACAAGTTTAATTATATATGTTGTTCAATTCTCTACATTTTTATCACTCGTCGAGAGCTCCACAGACCATTAACAACGAGAAACCTAGAACTGTATCGCCACTGCGTCACCCTTGACTTTTGGCTTTTAGTGCTACAAGTGTTTATCACTCATGGTCATGGAGATCGTAGTAAAAATCTTAGGCATAAACTTTCCTGGTGTGCAGGATCCTCTACCAGAGGCAAGCACATAGCATACTAGTTAGGAGTAGAAACGATTATGATATAAGAGAGGGAACTTAGAATTTCAAAGAGGAAGCAAAGGTGTTTAGAAACTCATATTTTTATTACTTAGCAAACTCTTTATAAAGTTCTCTTGGTTGGAGAACTTCTGCCTCTGCAAGAGATTTTTTCTCGCCTTATATAGATGAGGATGGAAGCTTAAAGACTCTAATCTTATCTTGCAGGATAAGATTCACACTATTAACCTTTAGACTTATTTTACAAAGAACAAAAAACTTTTGACAAAGCGGATCCCTTACTATTCCGCCTGTGACTAATTATACAAAAGACAGAACCACTTTTAGTGAAGTGGCAGACAATCTACTATTCTACTTTTTGACTAAGACACAAGAAAACAAAATCTTTGTACAAAGTGGACAGCTGTGTGCAATTTTTCAAGGGGACCCAAGAGAGCTGAAGTCTGATGATGATGATTCATAATTTGTCGAACCATTTTCATATGGATGGTCATGTGGGTACCATTGTTTGTGTCTTTTAGTGGAAGGTGGTATGTACTCTGAGTAGTCGTCTTCTGGATCTTGTGAGTCTTGAAATAGTGTTAGGTCATAATCAGGATGACCCTGTGAGTCTTGGGGGGGAACAGTTGATGATGATGGGGCTGTGTTGGAAGTCATGGAGATGTCTTCATAATATCGACTCTTGCTAACAGTGAAAATGTTGTATGGTCCATAGATATGAGTGGGTGGAGCTATTGCTGAGCTGGCAGATGGTTGTAGAGGAGGCTTTGGCTGGTGACCATTTTCTCTACATAGTACTCTGATGAGATGGTCTGTGATTTCTTTTAGTGACTGTGGGTAATTAAAGCCGGTATGCCAGGCGTATACTTCATGCTGTGTGTATAGCTCTTGTGCTTGTGAGTTGAGGAGATATGGATGATGCAAGAGGAATATAGTGTGCACCCAAGGAATGTCTGCTGGAGAGAAAGTCCAGATACTATATTTCTGAAGAAGTCTCGAGACTTCTTTTCTCTACCATGGGAGAGGGTTAAACATTTCCAGGAGTTGCCATAGGGCTGAACCTTCGTTTCTGGATTCATTGAGATGTTCATAGAGCTGCATGAGTGGACAGTCGAGGGCGATTTTGTAGAGAGCTGTTTGGCACCAGAGGTACCAAATGTCATCTTGGGTAGTTTCGCCGAAAGGTCGAAGATGGTAGGTGGCAAGATATGGTTCGTCCATATTATATAAATCCTGTGCTATAAGGTTCATAGTTCTAATACAAACCTTGGTTAGATAGTAAAATATATGAGATCTAGCATAAGACTTAATCTGGTGAGGTTGAGCTGTACTATCTAGTCCTGGTGGGAAACTATGATCTAATTTTACAAGAAAGCACAGAGGTGCGTGGATATTGGTATACATGAAGATCAGAGGGAAGGTTTTACAGGGTGTGATGACTTGAACTGGCTTTGGACGAGTTAAGAAGTCAGGGATGAGGTTGTGGTGGCCTTTTATATGTTTGACATAAAAGTCGTATCTGGCAAACCAATCTTTAAGTCTGAGTAATTGCGGGTCAGGTAGGGTTTTGTTTTTAAAATTAAGGACCTTAGGAAAAGAAGAATTATCCATTTGGACCTCAAAATTATAACCACTAAGATGGAAATCAAATTTTTGAATTCC